GCAAGGGGGTGTGCTCCATTGTTGACCATGATTTTATTTTTTTTTAAAAGCAAATAAAAAAGTAAGTATTTATAAATTTTCTAATTCTGATGTAGATGAATTGTGTTTAATTAGATTGAGGATAGATTAATTTTAAAGTATTTGTAAGTTGGTTTTGAGGCATGCAATAAATTGACCCAAAATACCCTAACAATTAAATAAAAAAAAATACTATTAATACATCATAACTCATACCTTTAGATCATAAAGATACCAATTAAAAAAAAAATCCTACAACAAATATAATATTTTTTATTTTTTTATTAAAACAGCAAGGTAACAACAGTTTTTTTAATAAGAAGTACAGACTTTTTATTTATTGGTTTTATTTAGAAGGTGAACATCTAATTCATTTTACCATTATTCATCACATGGTAACATCTTATTTTGACCTGAACTGGATTTCTCTAAGCAAAGGGCTGTTGGTTGTAACAGTCAAGATTGTTGCCATAACCAACTTTCAGTAAATCACAGTATCTTTGATAGAACCCGATGCGGTCCGCAACCTGTGCGTTTTGACCTTTGCCACATTCAATGCCACCGTTGATGATGTTGGTAATGACCCCGTACCCAGGGACTCGACCAGCTGCGGTGTCTATGGCGGATGGGGTCCATTGTCCGGTGATTACATCGTGACATGAAGGTTTGGGGGACTGTGGAGTCATCCAGAACCAAAGAGCAGTCTTGAAAGAAATGGTAGCGTCTGTTGCTACAGCATCAGGGTCATTTAGCAAGTTGTAGTTAATTGCATTTCCCGCTGGACCGTAGTTGTAATTGCTGCAGAGTCAAAGTCAAGGTCAAGAGTCAACAATTGAAAAATTGTCCGTTCAATATGAGAAGTCATTTCCAAATTTTCAAGAATCATTTCCTTGTCAAGGCAGCCTAAAAAGATAATCGGGATAAACTTTTTTTTTTTTTTTGGCACATGGGATAAACTTATTATTGGATTTCACTTAAGTGATTAAGAAATTGTTTGAGTTATGTTAAAAATATAAATTTAAATTGTTTTATTGTTATTAAAGTTAAATAATTTTAATAAGTTGTATTTATAATTTTT